TCCCAGCAATGCAAGGATTCTTCAGTATATGCCTATCAATCAATCTGATACTCCGTATTAACAAATCGAAGAATAAAAACATATGATCATCTCAATAGATAATCCAACACACATTTATCATAAAATCTCTCCAGAAAGTGGGCATAAAGGGAACCTAGCTCAACATAATAAAGGACATATATGACAAACCTACAGCAAACATTATTCTCAATGGTGAAAAACTGAAAGCATTTCCTCTAAGATCAGGAACAAGACAAGAGTGTCCACTCTTGCCATTATTATTCAACATAGTTTTGGAAGTCCTAGCCACAGCAATCAGAAAAGAAAAAGAAATAAAAGGAATCCAAATTGGAAAAGAAGAAGTACAACTGTCACTGTTTGCAGATGACATGATACTATACACAGAAAATCCTAAAGATACCTCCAGAAAAGTACTAGAGCTAATCAATGAATTTAGTAAAGTTGCAGGATACATAATTAATACACAGAAATTTCTTACATTCTTATACACTAACAGCAAAAGATCAGAAAGAGAAATTAAGGAAACAATCCTATTTACCACTGCACCAAAAAGAATAAAATACCTAGGAATAAACCTAGCTAAGGAAGCAAAAACCTGTATGCAGAAAACTATAAGAAACTGATGAAAGAATTCAAAGGCAACACAAACAGATGGAGAGCTATACCATGTTCTTGAATCAGAAGAATCAATATTGTGAAAATGACTATACTTCCCAAAGCAATCTCGAAATTCAACGCAATCCCTACCAAATTACCCATGGCATTTTTCACAGAACTAGAACAGAAAATTTTAAGATTTATATGGAAACACAAAAGACCCCAAACAGTCAAAGCAATCTTGAGAGAGAAAAATAGAGCAGGAGGAATCAGGCTCCCTGACTTTAGACTATACTACAAAGCTACAGTAATCAAGACAGTATGGTACTGGCACAAAAACAGAAGATCAATGGAACAGGATAGAAAGCCCAGAGATAAACCCATGCACCTATGGTCACCTAAGGTATGACAAAGGAGGCAAGAACAGAGAAAAGACAGCCTCTTCAATAAGTGGTGATGGGAAAACTGGATAGCTACATGTCCAAGAATGAAATTAGAACACTCCCTAACACCACACACAAAAATAAACTCAAAATGGATTAAAGACCTAAATGTAAGGCCAGACACTATAAAACTCTTAAGAGGAAAATGTAGACAGAACATTCTTTGACATAAATTGCAGCAAGATCTTCTTTGAAACACCTCCTAGATTAATGACAATAAAAAATGAAACTAAAAACAAACAAATGGGACCTAATGAAACTTAAAAGCTTTTGCACAGCAAAGGAAACCATGAACAAGACAAAAAGACAACCCTCAGAATGGAAGAAAGTATTTGCAAATGAAGCAACTGACAAAGGACTAATCTCTAAAATATACAAGCAGCACATAGAGCTCAATATCAAAAAAACAACCCAATCCAAAAATGGACAGAAGACCTAAATAGACATTTCTCCAAAGAAGACATACAGATGGCCAAGAAGCACATGAAAAGATGCTCAGCATCACTAATTATAAGAGAAATGCAATCAAAACTACAATGAGGTATCATCTCACACCGGTCAGAATGGCCAGCATTAAAAAATCTACAAATGGTAAATGCTGGAGAGGGTGTGGAGAAAAGGGAACCCTCCTATGCTGTTGGTGGGAATGTAATACAGCCACTATGGTGAACAGTATGGAGGTTCCTTAAAAAACTAAAAATGGAACTACCATATGATCCATCAATCCCACCACTGGGCATATACCCAGAGAAAACCATAATTCAAAAAGACACATGCACCCCAATGTTCACTGCAGCACTATCTACCATAGTCAGGACATGGAAGCAACCTAAATGCCCATCAACAGAGGAATGGATAAAGAAGATGTGGTACATATATAAAATAGAATATTACTCAGCCATAAAAAGGAATGAAATTGGGTCATTTGTAGAGATGTGGATAGACCTAGAGAGTATCATACAGAGTGAAGTCAGAAAGAGAAAAACAAATATCGTGTATTAGCACATATATGTGGAATCTAGAAAAATGGTATAGATGATCTTATTTGCAAAGCAGAAATAGAGATACAGAAGTAGAGAACAAATGTATGGATACTGAGGGGGAAAGGGTGGTGTGTGTGGGACGAATGGGTAGATTGGGATTGATCATATACACTACTGACACCATGTATAAAATAGACAACAAATAAGAACGTAATGTATAGCACAGGGAACTCTACTTTATGCTCTGTGGTAACCTAAATGGGAAGGAAATCCAAAAAAGAGGGGATATATGTATACGCATAGCTGATTCATTTTGCTGTATAGTAGAAACTAACACAACATTGTAAAGCAACTATACTCCAATAAAAATAAATTTGAAAAAAAAAAAAAGGACAGTAGTTGCCAATCAGAGGGGTAGGGATTGGGCTGGGAGAGGAATGAATAGGTGGAACATGGGATTTTTAGAACAATGAAACAATTCTGTATGATACTAAAGTGGTAGATACATGTCACTGTATATATTTGTCAAAACCCATAGAATGTCCAACACCAAGAGTGAACCCTAATGTAAACTATGGACTTTGGGTTATAATGATGTGTCAGTGTTGGTCCATAGGTTGCAACAAATGAACCACTGTGGTGCAGGATGTTGACAGTGAGTGATGCTGTGCGTGTGCAAGGCAGGGGGTATATGGGAACTCTGTACTTTCTGCTTAATTTCGTTATGAACCTGAAAGTGCTCTAAAAAATTAGTATATTTAAAAATAAATAATTCTGAGAAACAAGGGTAGAGATAAGGACATCTACTCTAAAATGTAGAATATATAAAAAATATTCATCCTACAAATAATACAAAATCCTAATGCTGAGTTATAAAGAGACTATATGAGTAACACCCTATTCATTTAAAAAATACAATTGAAAATAAAAAATAATGAATTTCCTATATAAGAAGATGTTTTCTAGACCCAACAGAAGAATCACTGATTTGGAGTAATAGTTAATACAACAAAAACACGGTAACCAAATCATGTGTATAGGACATGGAATTTTGTTATACTATGACTGGGTCTATATTTATGTATCATTGACTGACCCTGTAGATTTCAACAATGAAACAATTGCATCAAACATAATAGTGGGCCAATTTCTGCAGGGTAGGAAGAATTTAGGCCAAAAAAATTAGTAGTAATTATTTCTAGGTTGAAAGAATGAATTTTGGGGGTAAAGAAATCCTCAAAGTTGCTGGAATGAAATAAGTGGTTTGCCTCTAAGCAACTAACCTTTTGTAAAATATCTGAATAATGGTTAATTACCTCTCAAAACTACTTTGAATACAGTAAGAAGCTGAATACGTCCTAGAATCCACCCTGGAAGCTAAGCAGGCACGGGACTAAACTGCTTATTTTGGAGACAATGAAGAGTGAGTATGTAATGAGTGAGCCCATGATGGCAAAGACTGAGTTCCTGGAAGTCTTGTTCGTGTCTGTCAATTTGGGCTACTTCAGGCACAAAATGACAGTCCTTAGGCATATGGCTCTCTACAATCAGGCTGAATTACACAAATTCTGCATGCAAAAATCATCAGACTTTCAGCTAGAAAATGGTCTGTTCCTGCAAAACCGATCAGATATAACCCGGCTCAAGAGTCTGGACAAGTAAGAATGCCAAGGGACCCAGACATAAACGCCCTGGCACACACAACAACAGCAACGGCATAGTTCCATAACTTAGTGAGAAAGCAGGATATTGCTAGTGTAAAATGGTTGTAATATAACTTTTTAAAGTAACAGATTATATTACTTCAAAATATTAATGTTTAAAAAAACTAAATATTTCAAAGTTTACTCTGGTTACACAAGAGAAATGTACAGCCCATGCAAAGTGTAAAATTGTATTTGTGACAGTAAAGTGAGTTCAACCTTTATGGCTAATAAACAGAGACATTATATTTTCAGCACAAGGAATAAAATCACATTTGTGGTAATAAATGTCTTTTGACCAGAGTAGTTTGCTTGTCATTCTTGTTTCCACTCTTTTCAAACCTATTTATATGCTTTAAAATCTAAACTTAGGTGGCTAGGTTAACACTTAAACTTTTTTTCAAGTAAAATGTTTTTACATATAAGTTTTTAAAATATATATATTAAACTTTTCCACAGGATAAAAAATATCGCTCTTACTTTAAAATTCAGTTAGCACCAAAGACCAGCTCCTCCCATAGAATAATCTGTTTTAGAACTTTAGGTGGATAAAATGAGAAGGGGCCTTGTAAGATAAAATAAATTCTTATGATCACTAAGCAGAAAAATTTTTTAATATATTTGTTTATTGAAAAATCATTTCCATGCAACTATTACATTCTTTTTAGAGTTAAAAATGTGTTCTACCTGCTATATGCCTTATGATCAATTCATTAAAAAAGCTATCCATAAACCATAATATTTATGATTCAAGAGAACTTTCCTTGAAAATGACTTGAAATATTATATTTTTTCACCTAATTAAAAACATTGAAGATTATTTTTCTATCTCTGCCTTGAATTTATTTAAAAATAAAACATTTTGAAAAATACTTTGTTCTGAAATAATATAGCATATCCAAGTAAAAGTTTCACTCCAGGAATATATTTTAAAGCCATGGCTTCTAATTTTGAAATACATGCTTTGAAATACACAAGAGGACCTATGTAGAAAGGCTAAGAACAAAGATGACAGAGTGCTAATTAAAACACCTACATTTAAATAGACTGCATTTTTAGTCATGGAAAATAGTTTCAGAGGGCAAAAATGTATACTATTAACCAATATAAGAATGATTTTTCATTGGACAAAGATATACTATTTTCCTATGAAAAGGAGAGAGGAATTTTTAAATGTGCAAATATATTTTAGAAAGCATGCACCTGAATAAATCCTTATTTTGAGGTGGTAAAGAATAAAAAATCACATGTACCCTGTTTCGATAGGCAGCACCTTTCCAGTCTTTGCTCATGAGAGTATCCATAGAGGAGGTATGCTTCTTGTAGTGCACTTTTATACCACTTCTTTTTATTCGTACATTTTCCTGGCTAAAGAAAGAGAGAAAAATAATAAGATTCATGTTTAAGCATATAATTTTGTTTTAACATTGACTTGATTTAGCTGTTGAGCTGGAACTAAATCTAAGCATTGTACAATATATTCCTTAGATTTTGTTATCTAATTATTATTTTATTAGTATTTTAGAATATAGCAAAGTTGTGGAAATTTTGCATGTTAATAGCCAAAAGGGTCAGTGTCTTAATTCACTAAAATAATATTTTAATATGATTTATCTCATATTTAGAAAGTTACAAAAACTTAAGACCACCAGTGTAACCAAGTAGTGAATATTAATCTATTTTATCAGAATAATGTTGATTCCCTTTTAAGTAACATAGCAATGATAATGAAGTGATAAAAACTGAAAAGCCTAGTTTCTTATTGTAATAAATAAAATTAATTCCATTCACATCTAATAAATGACTGTTTTCAGGCATAGTAAGCGCTCAATAAATGTTATTCTACTTGAATATGGTACTTTTTCTAAATGTTTATTTAGTTTTTTTTTTAGTTCTCTATTTTTATTTTTTAAACTTTCTGTTTTATATTAGAGTACAGTTGATTAACAATGTTGTGTTAGTTTCAGGTGTACAACAAAGTGATTCAGTTATACATATACCTGAATCTATTCTTTTTCAAATTCTTTTCCCAATTAGGTTGTTACAGAATATTGAGCAGAGTTCCCTGTGCTATACAGTTGGTCCTTGTTGGTTATCCACTTTAAATACAGCAGTGTGTACATGTCAATCCCAAACTCCCTAACTATCCCTCCTCACAACCTTTCCCCCAGTAACCATAAGTTCGTTCTCTAAGTCTGTGAATTTGTTTCTGTTTTGTAAATAAGATGATTTTTATCATTTTTTTAAAAATATATAATTTGAAAAGAAAAACAGAGTCAAAGAATCTCTAGGTTAAAATGACTATAAAAATTATCTGGCCCAGTAATTTTGCCAATGTTATTTTAGAGCTTGCCCCAAAAAGGTTTTTATAATGTTTATAAATGTTACAATTTATAAAATACACGCCACCATTTTCTTTTTGAAAACTTCACCATCAAAAAGAATACAGGTGTTACACTGCATGTGGTCCTGGACACTAATTTATTTGGCATAAAAGCAATGAAAAAAACATATCAAACAAAAACCTAGTTTTGTATATAGAATATTTAAATTTCATTTATTAAGTTATTTCTTAGGAAAAAGAAAAGATAGGCGGATACAATTCAATGAACATTGGAAAATTTAAACTAATTTAAGAATGTCTAAGCTAACATTTACAGATTTTTTTTTTTTTTTTTTTTTTTGCTGTATGTGGGCCTGTCACTGTTGTGGCCTCTCCCGTCGCGGAGCACAGGCTCCGGACGCACAGGCTCAGAGGCCATGGCTCACAGGCCCAGCCGCTCCATGGCATGTGGGATCTTCCCGGACCGGGGCATGAACCCGTGTCCCCTGCATCGGCAGGCAGACTCCCAACCACTGTGCCACCAGGGAAGCCCCACATTTACAGATTTAAGACATTTCTGCAACTCAAATGTTGTAATGATGCTATTAATGGGTAGTGAAAAATCACCTGTAAGCTGTTATAGCACTAAACAACTGAAGTTAAGGAAATTTCTTGAGGAAAACCAATGTGATACATTGCTAATATAAATTGGCAAGTTTGGGGAACGAAAAAGCAGTTTTTAAACCTGTGTCTCTGAATCTTTAAGAATTTATCAGTATGTGCCACCTAGTGGTAGTAATACAATTAAACATCTTCTAAAGAACTCAAAAAGTTAAAGGCTCTTACTTTATAAAGAATTCTGAATTCCAGAATAAGGCTCAGCTATGCATTGGATTTTTTCCAACTAGTTTGTTCTTTAATTGAAGTGATTCTAAAAGTGTAGGATGTGACTCCCTATCCATCCCTAGTACTGAGTGTTTCTCCCAAAGACACCCAATATTACCAGTTTTTTTCACAGTCTTCCAGAGACATCGTATGTACCTACAGGCATTTACATCATTTAAATATCTGCTTTTACAGACTGCTATGAATTGTTATATACTTTTGAGTTTTTCTATTTGTCTTTCAGATTGCTTCATTTATGGATTTATTCAACATATTCTAGACCCTTGGGATCAATCACTGAAGAAAACAGACAAAACTTACATTCTAACCAGTGAAACAGACAACCCACAATAAGCATAACAAATAAGTTAAGGTTACAGTTTAAGAGGTTATAAATACTATGTAATAAAGAAAAGATGAGGCAATAAAGTGGTCAGGGTAACTGTCATTGAAAAAGTGACAACTGAGCGAAGACCTAAAGGAGGTCAAGGAGTTAGCCCTGTAGATGTCCAAGGAAAGAGCACTGCAGGAAGAGAAAAAAGGCTTTAAGATGGGAGAATACAAGTTTATTTGAGAGGCATCAAAGAAGGGAAGGTGGTTGTGGGTGAATGAGGAAGCGAGTAATAGGGAGTGATGTCCAATAAATTAACAGGGGCCAGGTCATGGAGGTCCTTGCAGGCCATTGTAGGGATTTGGGCTTTTACTCTGAGTGAAACAGGAGCCATTACAGAGTTCTGAGCAGGAGAATAACATTTGATTTGATTTGATTTAACATTTTACAACAATCACTCTGCTTGCTTTGATTATACAAAGGCAAGTGTAGATGTGGATGACTGGCTACTGCAATCATCCAGGCAAGAAATAATGGTGGTATAGATCAGGTCATAGCAGCCACTGTGGTGAAAAGTGGTAGGATTCTGGATATACTCTGAAGGGAGAGCAAAAATAATTTCTTGACCAACTGAAGATTGGTTAAGAGAGAAAGAAAGGATGACTCTCAGGCTTTGGGACTGAGCAAGAGGAGGATGTGATTTGCCATCCACTGAGATGGGGAAGGCTGTCAAGGAAGTGAAGTGGCGGGGGGGTGGAGATCAAGAGTTCAGACATGCTGAGTACGCATTATGACACCCAAGCGAAGATACCAAGTAGCAGTTTGGTAAGCGAATTCGGGAGAGAGAACTGAACTGCAGATAAAATGTAGGAAACATAGACACACACACACACACACACACACACACACACACGCACACCATATTTAAAGGCAAGAAATTAGATGAGAAAACCAAGGGAATGAGGATATAGATGTATGTATATCCAAATATGTAGTATGGCATGTACCATTATTTATCTTACAAACACCCTTGTGACGGATTTAAGTTTTTTCAAATATTTTGCAATATGAAACAATGCTGCAATAAAAATTTTTTTGTCTGTATGTCTCTTTACCCATGTGAAAGTGTATTGAAGCATAAATTCCTCAGATGTTGAATGCCAAGTTTATACATATTTTAAATTTTGGAAGCTTTTGTGAAATCACTCTTGAGTGAGGTGGTCAAAATTTACCACTCCATGAACAAATGCTTCCTCACACTCTGGAGAACACTTCCATTACCAAACTTAGATCTCTGCCAATATTTTAAGGAAAAGATTGGTATTTCCTTTTTGTTATCATTTTCATTTTTTGAATTCTGTAATATGAGCAATTTTTCATATTTTTTCCAGCTTTACTGAGATATAATTGACAAATAACTGTGTAAACTTAAGGAGTACTACACAATGACTTGATACACATACACATTGACCTTTATTTGTGTGTGTGGTGAGAACATTTAAGATCTACTCTCTTAGCAACTTTCAAGTATATAACACAGTAATTAATGTTAACTATAGTCACCATGCTGTACATTAGATTCCCTAGAACTTATTCATCAATTTTTCATATTTTAAAAAGCCATTTATATTTTCTTTTCTATGGAATGACTGTTCAAATCCTGTGTTAATATTTATATTGGTTGTTTTCTCATTGATTTGTAAGTGATTTTTGTATATTAAAAAATTGCCCTTTGCTCTATGTATTGAGAACATCTCCTGTTAATAGTTTATCTTTTAGTATGTTTGTATTTTCTTTTTTGTTCATTTAAATTTTTCATCCTTCTAGAACTAATTTGGATGTGAGGTGTGAGGTATAGCTTCTGCTTCATTTTTTCCTAAGTAGCTAGCCAGTTGTACATACATAATTTATTAAACAATACAACTTTTCTTTAATTATTTGAATATAACCTTGTCATTAACTATTTTCAAGTACTTTTGGACTGTATATTGTTCTATTAATTTATCAAATAACTGTTAATATCAAACTGCTTTAACTATTAGAGTATTACTATAATTTTATATTTTATAGGTCTAACTCCCTCTTCTATGTTTTATTTTCTTACAAATGTTAGAATTTGACCCTTGAACAACACAGGCTTGAACTCTGCAGCTCCTTTTATATGTGGAGTTTTTCACTAAATAGGTACTGCTGTACTACACAATCCACGGTTGGTTAAATCTGTGGGTGCAGAACAGGTGAACTTTGATGGGCACTGTGAAATTACTGCAAAGTTACAGGTGGATTTTCAACTGCAAGGGGGGTTGGCATCCCTAACCCCCAGGTTGTTCATGGGGTCAACTGTAGGAGGGTTTTTAAGTTCTTTTTAATGGATGTGGTACATATATACAATAGAATATTACTCAGCCATTAAAAAGAATGACATAATGCCGTTTGCAGCAACATGGATGCACCTAGAGATTATCATATTAAGTGAAGTAAGTCAGACAGAGAAAGGCAAATATCATATGATATTGCTTATATGTGGAAACTGTTAAGTGATACAAAACGAATTTATTTACAAAACAGAAACAGATTCACAGACTCAGAGAACAAACTTATGGTTACCGGTTGGGGAAAGTGGGGGATGACAGATTGGGAGTTTGGGATTGACATGTATACAGTGCTATATATAAAATAGCCAACAAGGACCTACTGTATAGCACAGGGAACTCTGCTCAATACTTGTAATAACTTAAACAGGAAAAGAATTTGAAAAAGAATAGATACATGTATATGTATAACTGAATCACTCTGCTGTACACCTGAAACAACACATTGTTAATCAAC